AAAATCTACTGCACAGCCCGTGCATGTCATCTTCCCAGTCACCTCTCCCCAGGACGGGTTTCAGCTAAAAGAGCAGAGCACATCTCAGCCACCTGCCACCGTCTTGTCACAACAGCAGCACAGCTGCGGCATCCCCAATAGCAGGTAAAATGCTGTCTCTATTGCTCTGTCTCAGCACAATCATATCTGCTCAGGCAAGGGAAATGCCATTAGCATTACAGTTGCCACAGGTTGCAATTCCCAGGGTAACATCACTTCGTGCAGCAAATTCCACAACCCATTCCTGAGCTCTATGCACTCGTGATCACACTTGAAAACTTCCCACAGGTTGAAGGTTTAATAATGTGTTCTGGACACCAATATGCCTCCCTCCCCAAGAGATGCTACCATTATGGCCCTGCCTGGGCAAGTTGATTTTTCCAGCAGCCTGGCCATCCCCATTTCCCTGCACAGCTTGATTGCTAACCACTGTGAGCCCTTCCACTACCCCAACAGCTCCTCTTTCCAGATAAGCACCTCTCAGCTGCTGCCTGAGGCTGAGCTCAGTCACGAATTTTCCTCCTTTTTTTCACAGAACTTGCTTTGCTTTTATTTTTCCATCAAGCTTGGCTCCACCAATAGAGCATAGACGTCCAGGGATAACATTGTGTTCCCCTATGCAACATCCCTCCTAGCTACATGCTATAAAGCACAACTCCAGAGAGACTTGAACATATTCAAAACAAGAGGAGCTGCTAGAAAAGCAATCAAACATGACTCTCTCTCTCAGCAATCCGTGAAGAGTAATAATCATGCTGAGGCTTAAAGTAAACCCTGAAGAGAGGAATGCAGCTAGAATTCCTCATCATCATCATGGGGGAGATCTCTAGAAGCACCTGAACAGAAAAGCAAGGCCATGGACACCATGCATGCATGCCTGTGCCTCTGCAGACTGCAGCTGGGGCAGGAGACCTTGCTGCTGAAGTCAGCGTGTGTTTTTAAACATGAAAGTGCAGCTGCGCACGGGAGCAGTTGCTGCCTCGTGCCTCACGGAGACACTTCCCACGGGTCATGCTGTGCCTTGGCCCCGCACCGCGCATGGCTAAAGAGCACAGCTTGACTGCCAGAAGTCGCCACTAATGGAAGCAAGAAAACCTATTCACCAAATAAGTGAGAATAAGAGCTAAATCTGAAGAAAAATCTCATCCACTGGAGAAACTGTCATCTGTGCTGCATCTAGGCACAGGTTAAGCTCACAGTCTATCCAAATACTCACAGCTCAGTGCAAGGGTGGCGAGGACAGGCACTTCCCACGCTCGCTCCCCCAGCCAGAAGCTGCCTCCCCACCTCTGCTGGAGTCACTGAGAAAAGACCAGTCAAGGGCAACTCTGAACATCCCAGTTTTGGCCACTACCTGACCCTGCTTCCTGCACAGTGACTCCCAACACTGCAGCAAGCTCCATCTCCTGGTCAGAACCTTTCCAGCCCCAATTAGGTGGAAAAGGAGCCACGTCACTAATGAGCGCACCAAGGCACTTATCTCACCTGGAAGGCATGGGCACCAGCTGTAAAATTGTTGGCAAAGACAGAAGCTTTGTATTGATTTTTGGAAAGGCCAGGTGTTTAGCCACATGCAAACCACATGGAAAAATGATCTCTGCTCCCTGTGGACTGCCACTCCTGAATAGGACCCAGTGTCCCCTGAGACTGACCCTTCTCTCAGTCTGGCATGGCCAAGAGAGTGGGTGAAACAGTGGGTGAAATTTGTTGCACCCAGACATAGTCAATACAGAGAGATTGGCATCCCCTCAAGGGGTTCACTCTACCCCAGAAAGCCTGAACAGGAGGATGCCAGGCTGTAGTTCCAATGTGACCAGTGATTTTAGGAGCCTAGCAGCATGGGAAACAAGGTTGTTTGGAAAGAAAAAGGATATAGCTTGTTTTCCACTGAAGTCAAAAGGTTGGAGAACAGGCAAGATGCTGATATCAGAGAGACCTTGAGAACTATCCTAGAGAAACTGAGACTGGAAGGGAAGGTTTGAAACAATTAGATGTTGTTTTTTTTCTTGATACAGAGTCAGCAGGACTAAAGCATGGGGAACTCTACACATTTTAGTTTCTGGACTTTCAGAGAGGTCAGTGTGTGAAGTCAGTGCTGAGGAGCAAAGAAGATATAAACTTTGCTAGACAATCTGCCTGCTCGGGGTCTGCACTTGGGGAGGACTGTTGGGATCCTGCAGCTGGAGCAGGAGGAAAAACTCTGTGAGAGGTCCCAGGGGAAGCACTCGTCTCCAGTGCGTTTAAAGAGCTGTCCTCAACTCTGGCCTTATGTGCCTGGGAGATTTTAGCTGGTTACTTTTCTAATTCTACCTCCTTATAGCCAAGCTCTGCTAGTGCAGCTTAAACTGTGGTGAGTGGGTAATCAGCCCGGAGTTTTTCTGCTGTCTATACCTGCAGGAAGCTAGAACGAAACTCTGAGTCAGACAGAACATTTAGAAAATGTGCCAGCTGCAGGAAGAATATTCAGTCCACAGTAATGCCTGTTTATCTCACCACACCAGCGATATCTTGCACTGTAATATCCTCCCTGCCCAGAGTGGGGTGAGCAGAGGCAGGCTGTCCGGGAAGTCTCGGAGGCACATTGCTCACGCAGGAGATGTTCTCCTCACTTTGCAGCCTGGAAAGATGCCTTGAACTGTAGCCTGGCAGCTATCAGAAATACAGCAGGGAAGCAAAGCTTCATCGCACAGGGCCTTTGCTGTGTTGCCTTGCAGGGAACAAATGTCTCCTTCCTTGCTTAGCCCAAGCCTGCCACAGTAATCCCCACCATAACTGTTTTATACTAGCCTTTAGTTTGTGATTCTGTGCAGGCTGATTATCCCCACACTGTCATTTCCAGAGGAAATGAACACCATAGTAAGCAGTAATAACATATCATAATATTTCTTGCCTTGGGAAAGCCTGCCAAGGGCACCAGAAATGCCTTGTAAACAAGGATGAATGAAGCCCTGCAATTCAGCTGTGAAGCAGAGCAGATTTCTTCCCAGTTGCAGACAAGATAAAAGGCCCCAAAATGTTTCTGGGAGCTAAGGAAGGTCACAAAGCATGAGAAAAGGGACTTAAGCGCTGGATTCCGGCCCCCAGTCTCCAGCTGTATTTGCTAAATACAGCAGGCCCACAAGCTCAGTGAGCTGGCACTGGGAATTCTTTTCCTGTGGTTTCCTTGGAAGATTATGGAGGAAGTTACATAGACCAGCAGCGACTGTGTAGTAGCTTCAGTATCTAAAGAAAAAGGAGTTTTAGGGTAGCATGACTTACTTCACATTTGTCGGTCGGCTTGGAGCAGGCAACATGTTCAGACATTACAGCTCAGCTAACTGACAACTGCTCATTTCTTAATTGGTAGAATTAAGAATTGGTAATTCAATCTATCCTCTCAATCCTGTGCTGAGCAGAGGTGATGCCCTCAGGAGCTGGAAATCAATTTAATTTCTCAGGAGTTTTTATGCCTATGTTTCCCCATAGTGCCTGGGCTCCTTGTGCTTATCTAAGGTCCAGAACTATTTCAAACCACTGCAAATCTTTAAAATTTTGTGGCTACTAGCACTAGTATAGTCTGGAAGGCAGTAGAGACCACTCTGCTCTTAGAGCTTATTTACTGCTGGTCGTTATTGCAGGGAAGGACTCAGACACACAACACAAGATCCTTACTAGGAGGCAGTTCCTGCAAAGAGCTTTTTGCCTAACCAGACTGAAGAGACAGGGGGAAACTGAGCCATGGAGGACAGGACATGGCCCAGGTCACACGGCCAGCCTAGCAGAGATGGGAATCAAACTATTTGTTAATTACCAATTTAATGGTCCTGTTACAAAACCTGTTTGCTCTCTGCTCCTTGAGATCTTATTGCAGGGATCTCTGGCAACCTCCCCCGAGTCTACCTGTATAATTTTCAGTACCGTCAAACTGGCAGTACTCCAGCTGCATACCTGGATCTGGACCAGGTTTCCGAATTCCAGCTCTCAAGGGATCCATACAGAGAATTAAAAGCCCTGAAGTGAATGTGGCGCCAGTCCAGCGCCACTGACCCAGGAGGCTCTGCTCCATTAGCCCCAAAACATTGCTTGCCACTAATGCTTTAATTCTGGCATTGCAAGTTTTGCTTCTCAATAAACACACACACAAAGTAATTTATGAGACCTGTAATGTGAAATGTGCTTTACTGCAGCTGTTTAAGAGCAGCTGCTGATTGTATCCTGTGGGTTGACTGCAGAGTAACTATTTTTGGAAAGCTGTTGTCTCCTGAAAGCAGGAATCCCACCTAGGATGGAGAGGCTGGGATAGGGACTCCAACACCTGCAAATGTCCCACTGCACAACTCCAAAGCTGGAAACCAGCTCCAAAATGAATGTGATAATTGCTCTTCTCTCACACCCTGCTGCAGTTTTGTCTTGGGGGATGCCGACTGTCTCTTGCTCTGTTTTTCAGCATTTTCAGCCCATCGAGAACCTTCTCTCAATCGGAGATCTCAGACAGTAACAAAATAAATAGCAGGACATGCTGAGATGGGGGATGTGATCAAAGCAAGGTTGGGGCGAAGAGATGCACATGACTCAGGAGAGTTTTGACTGCCATCAGAATATTCTGTTGACACATTACTGCTGGCAGCAGTAACATGCTTACTAGACAAGAAGAAAAGGAGAGGTGCATTCATCAGTGGAAATACTGCTGCTTTTATTCCAACACTGTACAGTTACAAATCTGCAAGCCTTCTTCTCCCCCAGCCTGCCCCACACAGCATCAGGAGTGTTGGGGGCTGTGCAGAGCCCACACCCTGTCTCTCTTGCTGCAGCTGCCTAAGCAGATGCCAGTGCTCAGCCCTGCAGCATCTCTTGCCACAGGGCAATGCCATTTGAATGATGCTGATCTAATGCCCCTGTGCTTGTGCCTGGATGCCTGACAGTCCAAGGCATGTGAAAAAAGTCCCTCTTCTTCCAAGTCCTTGGGCAGCCTCTTTGTAAGATCAATGGAAAGTGAAATCCGTAGGTTTGAGCTGCCGAAAATGGGTGAAGTGCCTCTTGAGGATCTTCGGCAACAAATTCTTTCTGGGTTTCCCAGCAGGCAACTCCAGGCTGGAGCTGCTCCTCTGACAGGCCACCTCCAGGAACTGAGTCTTCTGCTTCCTCTCAGTCTTCTCTGCCTCCTTGCTTTCCACCACATCTATTATCTGGATATTACTTAGTGGTCTAGCATGTCTCCTGGGCATGGGAATCCCTCTTGGCTCATGGCTTCCTTTGCCATCCTGGTGACTGATGGCATGGGGACCTGTCTGCTTGCAGTCTCTCAGGTCTCCACCCATCTGGGAGCAACCATCTCCACCAGCAATAGGCAACTCAGGATGTCTGCAGCTTGCAGGCTTCTCCTGGGAGGCAGAACGTATCCTCGCAGCAGGACACAGAGGATAACTGAAGCCCGAGTGAAAAAACAAAGCCTCTTCACTGGTGACCTGTGGGCTCTCCCCAAGGCTGACAAAACCATAGGGGGTGGCAATCTTGGGGAGATGAGGCAGGGACAGGGCTGCCCGGGTAACGGGGTCTGCGATGGCCTCCACTGTGGCAGCGAGCTCAGCGTCAGAGCAGGACAGGACGGAGCCAGGCTGGCTGAGTGCTCTCTCCACGATGGTGTCTGAGCTGCTCCTCCAGGCTCTCTCCTCAGGCTGCCGCTTCTCCTCGATGAAGCGCCTGGGCTTTTTGTGGCTCTCCAAAGAGGGGATAACAAACTGCGGGATGCTGTCAGGGGTCACCACGTAATGGAATACATGCCTGGAGCGCGTGTCCTGGAGCGAGCGGGAGCAAGGCATCACCTTCCCATGCGACATCTCTGGACCGACGGGTGGCGGCTCTGGCAGCCAGGTGTGCGGCTCCTGCGGGGCTCCCCGCAGCAGCAACTCGTATTTATGCTCTCCACTCAGCCCTGATTGCTCTCTGCCCAGTGACGCTCCGTGACGACTGCTGCCAGCTCACTGCACCTGCTCCGTCTGAATCCAGCCATTCATCACCCATCGGACAAAGGGGAGGTGGCTGAAGAGGGACACAAGAGGAGACATTTGTCCTCGACCTCTGCTCCTGCCCTCCTTTCACATGCAGGGCCACTAGTGCCCCCAGACTCCTGTCACTGGTGAGAAAAGGATGTGGAGGTGAGAAGATGGGAGGGACACTCTGAAGATGCAAAGAACGGAAAGAGCTGCCTGACCCTGTGGCTGCAGAGCATGGGGCAGAGAGAGAGCAGCTCACAGAGGGGAGAAGAACAAATGAAGACAGCAGTGGCCTTTCCTGAGATGAGTCATCTGTCTGTGGGCATCAGGTAGAGCAGAGCAAGAAAGCGGAGAGCAAGATAAAATCATTGTGCAGTTTCCCATTTCTTCTCCTCTTCTCTTTTCTCTCTCTCTTCCTTGCCTTTCCTTCCCTTTCCTTCCCTTTCCTTCCCTTCCTTTCCCTTCCCTTCCCTTCCCTTCCCTTTATCTAATAAATCTCCCATGAGGAAATTCTGCACCTCGGTCAACACAGTTATTGAGATTGAATAGTCTCAGCCCCTCAAACACTCTTCCTATCTATGCTGTTGCTAGGGCTTTGCTCTTTCTTGTTTCTCACAGGCTCGTTGTATTTCTGTCTCTGCTGGGGGAGGCTCAGATTGCAGGTAAGGATCAGTCACCGGCATTGCTGGGTCTGCCCCAGGCAGCTTCCCCAGGGAGGCCTCTGTGCATGGCCGTGACCACAATGGCCCTGTCCTTCCTCCAGGCAGGGAACGTGAGACTTGCTCTCTTAGCTATGCTTAAATCAAAGGGTGCTTTGTCTTTTCTTCCCTCGCAGCTGGGCAGCAGCAAAGCCACAGAGCTGGATTACTGAGCCCCATCCCAGACGATCAGTGCTTGCTAATGAAGTCTCCTCTATCAGCAGGTAGATAAAGGCTGCTTTACAACTTTTCCTGCCCTGGAGACTATGCAGAGATATAAACGGCTCAGTTTCTGTGCAGTGCCTTGTGTGACTCCAAGCACCATCTAGCTGACCCTGTAGTAATACACAATTTTATCCTGTCCTGCACATCCCCTTCCCTGCATTTCCTGCCCCTGCTTCTGCTTCCTTTGATCCCAAGAGAGTTTTGCCACTGGTTGCAATGAGCATGAGTGAAAGCAGTCTTTCTGGGGTTGGGAGTGTGGACAAGTCAAGGAGAATGTTCTAGAGCATCATAAACAGTCATTTCTATGGGGGCAGCAGAGGGGCACCCCAAATGATGTGCATCCAGTCTGCATGGCAGCCACTCCAGAGCTGGTTGCACCAATTTTGATGGCAGGGCTGCAAGCAAGCTCTGCATTGTGTCAGATGTCGGAGTGCTGATTTCAGCTGTAGAAGGTTCCCTCTCCCACACTGCCGTGTTCAACTGGATGAAGCAGGCAGATATGCACCCTGTTATCCCAACTCTGCACCCTTCACCCCAGGGACCATGCCTGCTCTCATGCCTTGCTGGTGGTTGCAGCAGGGTGGAAGCAGAAGATGATAAAGTGACACTCAGAAGTGCCCTTCTTCGGTCCCAAACTATTTGCTCAGTAGAAATACCATCAGCTGAGAATCCATCTGAACAGACATGTGACATGAGCACACACATGGCTGTGATGGCGAGTTTGGCTGAAGCGTGAGGTAGCATCACTACTTTGCTGAGAACTGTAGGTCAGCGGTACAAACCAACCGCACGAGACAGGACTGAGGAGGAGAATGCTCAGTGGGTCTTCAGGTGTACAGCACGGAGAGGGCACAGCCTACGCAGCATTTAAAACCTCAGCGATTCCACCAGGTGAAGGCTCTGCTGCAGGGCAGTTTGTAGAAATGCTGCTGGGGGCCTCAGATGCCTCTGTCTTGCGAAGGGGAGTGTGTATGTGTGTGCATGCACGTTTCATGCAGGCATAAGAGCTGGCTAATTGAATCAGGCTGAGGTTTCAAAGGATCAGGTTTACTCTCTTCTTTTTATCTTTATTGACTAAAATAAATCCCAGCCCCAGCTTCCTCCCAGCCTGGGAGCAAGGGGAGGGCATAGAAAGGATGAGGGGGCCTGCCCTCACCTGGAGCCCCCCTTCTCCCATCACTGAGGGGCTCAGAGGGGCAGATTGCCAGCACGGCTTTGTCACTGCAGGTCCCCGTGCTCCAGGCACAGGAGAGAAGCAGCACGAGCATCAGTCACAGTGGTTGTCACATGCAGAACAAGGAGTTCGCAGTTCAGGCCCCTTTTTGGGGACATTGAGTTGGTAGAAGTGGTGCTCAAGGGTCTAGCTGAAAGGGGACTTTGGATTCCCCTTTACTAACACAACAGCAGCAATGGGAGATTAAGTGCCACATTTTTCAAACCATACCAGTATCTAGACACACAAGACACTGCTGCATATCTGAAAAGTTGCTGCTGGCATCTCATCATCCTCTGCCTTACATCGCTTTCTGTCAACATGGGGTAAGGAAATGTGTCCTAAACCAGCATCTTGGTAGTGCAGCCCAAAACTCCCAGAAAGAGAGAGACACCCCAAATTCAGAGAAAATAAAGCCCTAATTCAGTCCCATCTTCCCCTCAAAAAAGATGCCAAGAGAAATTTGCCAACAATTGCTAAGAGCAGGACTCTTGCTAGAGGAACTCCTCGTTAGAGGGTACTAGGCTACACTGCTGATTAGTGGGGAGTGGAGGTCATTAGTGCAATGGGCAACAGCTGGGCCAGAGCCTACATTTACCATGATGGCTGCAGCATGAGCTAAGCCAGGTTTCTTTCCAGTTTAGTGTATTTGGCTTCATGGAGCAGCAAGCAAGGCCTGGTATGCTACGTGCCAGCTCAGAGTGGGCAGAGCTCCTCCAGGTGCTAAAGGGATGGTTTATGCTGTGGGTGATGTTGAAGTTGCTGTAGAGGGTGTCTGATCTTTCTCCCTTTGTATTTAGGGGAGACAAGTTATCCATAAAGAGCCCTCCTCTCTCTTCAGCAGGTTCTTATGCCATGTTCTTCAGCTGAGTTTTGTCCAGAACCTGGTAAGTAGTGTTTTTCTGATGGAGCGGTGAAGGTGAAAGGAGGATAAAACCCTGAGGCTGCTGGTCCTTTTGCCTTCTCTCTGCGCTTTCATCCTCTTTGTTCTTTTCATCTTTTCCTTTTAGTCCACTTTACCCTGCTCTGCAGGTAGTGTTGCTCATCCTCTGTTTTTTACTCCCCATCCCATCTCTTGCCCTCTATGTGGCTTGTTCTTGCTTTGCTCCCCTTCTCCTAATAGTGACTTGATATGAGCTTGATATGTCTCTTTACTTTCCTGACCATCAAATAAGCTGTAGAGAAGGAAAGGGCACTTTTTTCTCACAGTTAAACAGCTTCTCTCCTGCTGGATCAGGGCCTAAGGAACTGCCTAGCTGCTCCTCCAGCCTGCAGTTACTGAGGTTGTTCTTCAGTTCTGGCTCTGGCAGCTGAGCAGTCCTTAGGTGGGAGCATTAGTTACTGGTGGGGAAGCCAAGTGCACAGGTTCAATGTACCTACTCTGAAGGACACCTCAGTAAAATTTGTTCTTGCATATAGGAAAGCTGAGATTTGACAGACTTTGGAGTTTTGTTGTAGCACTGACATCTTTCTCAGTCTCTAGGCCACAAGGGTTAGGGGTTCTCTGGGGACAAGGTAGAGTCAGATAACTCTTGTTACCTGTGGCCAAAGCTGATTCCAGTCTCAGCAGCACACTGTAAGAGTAGTTCAAATGTTTCTTTAAGGAATTTAACTAGTTGGAAGGTCTCTCATTACCAAATGCAACTCTCTCATTTGCAGCTGAAGATACTTCAAAAAGTATCAGTCTGGGTTGGATTTGTGGTCCCTGTGGAGATTGTCAGCAAGTTTCAGCCTACACAGTCTCCCAACAGGCCTGGATGGCTTACTAAGAAACGCCGAGGGAGATTAGCACGCCTCCTCTCCTCCATCACCCCCACCAGGCTCCAGAAGATCCTGGGCTATCTGCCAGCAGATTGGTGCCACAGCAACATGCCCAAGGGTAAGAAACCAGGCTTTTTGGGTCACCACGTATGATATCAAAACACAGTGAGTCTAGAGCTCATGTACTGTGTGGAAAGTGATGAAATAAAAATGTATGTGTCTATTCCGTATGTGTTATGATTCTTGACTCCTATGAATCTTCACAGAAATCAGAGAAGCTCTGATCAATCCATCTAACAAAGGAAATAAGAGGAAGAGGGATGATGTAGCTCTGGAAGAGCAGGAGTCCTGGGTAGTAGTGCTAGAGAAAGACTTGCTAGAAGATGACTCTGAAGATGTCACATATGAGGTATGAAGTTCTCGTGCCGGATAGATCAGTTCCTCCAGTCCTGAGCACTTGCAAGATAAATGTTTCTCCTTTGTAGACTGGAAGAGTCACTGCACAGGCCTGCAAAGGCACTTGTGCTGAGCTGCTGTGCACAGGGCTCCTTTATCATACATGCTCAGGGACTGTAGGTTCTCCAAAAATCACTTAAACATATATTTTCAGTGTCTGAAAAGTGTGGATACTGTGTTTGCACCATATCACAGACATCACTGATGCTTGCTTTTACTAAGCATTGCTGCAAAGAGCATTTTGGTCAGTCTTTGCTGTTTAGCATAGTCTCCTCATTTCTGCTCCAGAATGAGGTCTGTGCATTCCTCTGACTCTTTCTTCCTATAGCCATCAGATGTGGAAACAGATAGCGAGGAGTACAGGTCCCAGAATGACACTGAGACAGACTTGGAGTTTGAAGAGCAAGAAGGTGTTACAGTACTGAAAGAATCATCAAATCTCCAGGTGAGTGGACCTGTGCAGGCTGCAAAATTCTTTATTTTTGCAAGCA